CTATCATTCCTAAGACATGGACTGCAGAGACTGAGTCTGGAGTATTATGATCAGCTGTGAGACAGAATGGGAGAAATATTTGCAGGTCATATATCTGATAAAGGACTTGTATCCAGAATACATAAGGGACTTCTACAACTTGGCAATAAAAAGACAACCCAATTTAAAAAATGGGCAAAGGACTTGAATAGACATTTCTCCGAAAAAGATATACAAATGGCCAATGTTGTTGTTATGTGCTGTCAAGTCAACTTTGACCCTTGGCAACCTTATGCACAACAGAATGAAACACTGCCTGGTCCTATGCCAGCCTCATGATCCCTGCTATACCTGAGCCCATTGCTGTAGCCACCATGTCCATCCATCTTGTTGAGGGCTTTCCCCTCTTTCATTGATCCTCCACTTTACCAAGCATGATATCCTTCTCCAGGGAATGGTCCCTTCTGACAACATGACCAAAGTAGGTGACACAAAGTCTGGCCATTCTTGCTTCCAAGGAGCATTCCAGCTGTACTTCTTCCAGGACAGATCTGTTAGTTCTTTTAGCAGTCCACAGTACTTTCAGCATTATTCACCAGCACCACAACTCAAAAGCATCAACTCTTCTTCAGTCTTCCTTATTCATTGTCCAGCTCTCACATGCATATGAGGCGATTGAAAATACTATGGCTTGGGTTAGGCACATCTTAGTCTTTTAGGAGATACTGTTGCTCTTCAGCACTTGAAAGAGGTCATTTGCAACAGATTTGCCAATGCAATATGTCTTTTGATATCTTGACTGCTGCTTCCATTGGCATTGATTGTAGAACCAAGTAATATGAAGTCTTTGACAACTTCACATTTCTCCATTCATCGTGATGCTGCTTATTGGTCCAGTTGTGAGGATTTTTGTTTTCTTTATATTGAGGTGCAATCCATACTGCACAGTGCAGTTTTTAACCTTCATCAGCGAGTGTTCCAAGTCATCCTTACTTTCAGCAAGCAAAATCTTAGGTTGTTAATGATTCTTCCTCCAATCCTGGTGCCATGTTCCTCTTCATATAGTCTGGCTTCTGGGATTATTTGCTCAACATACTTACTCAAGTAAGTCTGGTAAAAGGATCCAACCCTGATGCACTCCCTTCCTGATTTTAAACCATGCAGTGTCCCCTTCTTTTTTAACGACAGTCTCCTGGTCTGTATACAGGTTCCTCATGAGTACAAGCAAGTGTTCTGGAATTCCCATTCTTCTCAGTGTTATCCATAACTTGTTATGATCCACACAATAGAATGCTTTTGCATAATCAATAAAACACAAGTAAACATCTTTCTAGTATTCTTTGCTTTCAGCCAAGATCCATCTGACATCAGCTATGATATCCCTTGTTCCATGTCCCCTTCTGAATCCAGTTTGCATTTCTGGAAGCTCTCTGTCAATATACTGCTGTAACCTTTTTTGAATTATCTTCAGTAAGATTTTACTTGTGTGTGATATCAATGATATTGTTCAATAATTTCCACATTCTGTGGGATCACCTTTTTTTGGAATGGGTACAAATATGGATCTCTTCCAGTCAGTTGGCCAGGTAACTGTCTTCCACATCTCTTGGCATAGATGAGTTAGTGCCTCCAGTGCAGCATCTGTTTGTTGAGACATCTCAGTGGGTATTCCATCAATTCCTAGAGCCTTGTTCTTTGCCAATTCCTTCAGTGCAGCTTTGGCTTCTTCCTTCAGTACCATTGGTTCTTGATCATATACCACTTCCTGAAATGGATGATCATCTACCAATTATTTTTGGTACAGTGATTCTGTGTATTCCGTCCATCTTCTTTTGATGTTTCCTGCATCATTCAACATATTGCCCATGGAATCTTTCAGTATTGCAATTTGAGGCATAAGGTTTTTCCCCAGTTCTTTCAGCTTGAGAAATGCCAAGTGTGTTCTTCCCTTATGGTTTTCTAACTCCAGGTCTCTGCACATTTCATTATAATAATTGGCTTTGTCTTCTCGAGCTGCTCTTTGAAATCTACTGTTTAGCTCTTTTATCCTGTCGATTCTTCCATTTGCTTTAGCTACTCTCTGTTCGAGGGCAAGTTTCAGTCTCTTTTGATATCCATTATGGTCTTTTGTTCTTTTCCTATCTCTTTAATGACCTTTTTTTTCTTCATGGATGGTGTACTTGATGTCATCCCACAATTCCTCTGGTTTTCAGTCTTTGGTGTTCAATGCATCAAGTCTGTCCTTTAGATGGTCTCTAAATTCAGGAGGGATTTAATCAAGGTCATATTTTGGCTCTTGTGAACTTGTTTTAATTGTCTTCAGCTTCAACTTGAACTTGCATATGAGCAGTTGATGGTCTGTTCCACATCAGCTCCTGGCCTTGTTTTGGCTGAAGATATTGAACTTCTCCATTGCTTCTTGCCACAGATGTAGTCAATCTGATTTCTGTGTACTCCATTTGGTGAAGTCCACATGTATAGCTGCCATTTGTGTTGTGGAAAAAAGGTATTTGTAACGAATAAGTCATTGGTCTCACAGAATTCTATCATGCGATCTCCAGAGTCATTTTATCACCAAAGCTATATTTTCCAACTATCAGTGATTTTTCTTTGTTTCCAACTTTTGCCTTGCAATCACCAGTGATAATAAACATCTTGATTGCATGTTCGGGGAATTTCAGACTGCAGAAGGTGGTAAAAATCTTCACTTTCCTCATCTTTGGCTTTGGTGGTTGGTGGATAAATTTGAATAATAGTAGTATTAACTGATCTTCCTTGTAGGTGTATGGATATTATCCTGTCACTGACAGCATTGTATTTCAGGATAGATCTTGAAACATTGTGATGATGAATGCCACATCACTATTCTACAATTGGTCATTTCTGGCATAGTAGATCGTATGGTTGTCTGATTCAAAATGGCCAAAACCAGTACATTTCAGCTCATTAATGCCTAGGATATCCATCGTTATGCATTCCATTTCAATTTTGACAACTTCCAATTTTCCTAGATTCCTACTTCGTACATTCCTTGTTCTGATTATTAATGGATGTTTGCAGTTGTTCCTTCTCATCTTGAGATGTGCCACATCAGCATATAAGAGTCCTGAAAGCTTTACTCTATCCACATAATGAAGGTCGGCTCTGCTCTGAGGAGGCAGCTCTTCTCCAGTCCTATTCTGAGTGCCTTATGACCCGAGGGGCTCATCTTCTGGCAATACATCACCCAGTGTTTCAGGGCTATTCACAAAGTTTTCCAGTAATATATCAGACAGTATTTCACTGCTATTCATAAGGTTTTCACCGGCCAGTTCTTTGAGAAGTGGATGGCTTCTTCCTTCTTCTGAGTCTATCTCAGTCTGGAAGCTCTACTGAAACCTGTTCACCATGGGTAACCCTGCTGGTATTTGAAACACCAGTGCCATAGGCTTCAGCCTCACAGCAACATTCAAGCCACCACAGTACGACAAACTGACAGACAAGTTTGTCTCCCTTAGTTGTTCCAGTCTGCTCTGCTCATTTCCTGGTCTCCTCCACCCTGCTTGCTAACCTGGGCTGCCCCCAAGGCACAAACAACCTCCTTCCACTGCTCCTGGGGCTGGCTCACCACGGCCTGCCTCCACTCACACCCAAATGGCCAATAGGTGCATGAAAAGATGCTCAACATCATTAGCCTTAGGGAAGTGCAACTCAAAACTACAGTGCTATACTGCTGCACTTCCAGTAGGATGGCTGCAATCAAAAAGACTGATGATAACAAATGTTGGGTGTGGAGAAATCGGAGCCCTCATGCACTGCTGAAATGTAAAATGGTACAGCCCCTTTAGAAAACAGTTTGGCACTTCCTCAAAAAGTTAAACATAGAGTTAGCATATGACCCAGCAATTCAACCTTAGGTACATATCTAAGAAAACTGAAAATATATGTCCTTGAATGTTCATACCAGCATCATGCATGATAACTATACATAATAAGAGTCAAAAAGTAGAAATAGCCCAAAAATCCATCAGCTGATGAAAGGATTAATAAAGTGTGATATATCCATACAACAGAGTATCATTGACCATAAAAAAGGAGTGAAGTTATGATACATGCTACAACATGCATGAACTTTGAAAGCACTTTTCTAAGTCAAAGAAACTAGTCACTAAAGACTATTGTTGTGTTGTTAATTTGCTGTCGAGTCGGTCCCGACTCATAGCGACCCCTCCTTGGGTTTCCGAGGCAGTATCACTACAGAAGTAGGATTGCCCAACCTTCCTTCTGAGGAGTGGCTAGTGG